AGAGAGAGAGAGAGAGAGAGAGAGAGAGAGAGAGAGAGAGATTTTAAACTTATTTAACCGGTTTTGTCTAAGTTTTCATATTTACATAAAGTAACTAAATTTTTTATTAAAAAATATATATATCTAGTCAAAATCTACAATTTATCTACAACTTAAATACACTTTTTTTGTACAGAATCCACTCAAAAATTACAGTTTACATATAAATTATCCAACTTATATGCAATTATATAAGTTGTAGATATATTTTATATTGTTTGTACACTCGACATACAAAATATATACAATTTGTTTATGTCTATTTTTTCGAGTTTCAATATGAAATTTTAACCAAAACCATCTCGAATCTTCACCAAATTGTCTCAAAATTGAGATATAAAATCCAAAGGATATTCCAAATCTTTTGCAATAACACCCAATCCAAACAAAAAATAATTTTACAAATTTCTATTTTCGAATTCAAAAAGTTATAAAAACTATGTTAATCGATTAACATAGTTACCAATTCAATCAACTCACTTCTGATTAATACTATTGTGTTTATTGATTCCAAAAAGTTAAAAAAAATTAACGATCTTCTCACATTCAAAAGTGATAAATCGTCCATTGTTTAACATAGAAAAAAACCAAAACAGAAAAGAAAGAGAAAACATAATAGAATTGCTGGCTGAAGTTGAGGAGAAAGATGCCAGACGTTCTTTTGTTAATTTATAGTTTTAGTTTTGGGGTGAAAGAGGGAGAGAAAGTATGGAGTCTAATACATTATTTTGTATAAAATTGGTAATTTGTATATGGACTTGTAATTAAGTTAAAATCTTAATATTAAGGGTAAATAAGTTTCAAAATTAGTATAGATAAGTAAAAATCTAAATTTAAAAAAAAAAGGTGAAGGTTAACCAAAGTATAGTACACATGAAACGCAAAAGTTTTTATCTATAGATAGGACTACTAAAGTCTGCATCTTTAAAAAATATATAGCCTCTTCAAATTCCAATCATACATCATTAACATATTGAAAATCATTATGGATTTGCAGACTTTAAAAGCTTGAGAGTATCTTAACGAAATAATGACAAGATATGTCAAACCTTTACCAAGAGATTGTTAAAACATTAAAATGGAATAAATATCTCTAGTAAGATCAAAATATTACCAAACTAATAGTACTACCAAGCATGCCCTAAACAAAATATAGAAGTAACACTTAAACCCTAACGTTGTCCAAGGGTCAGATGGCCATGTACAATTGTCAATCAAAATTATTATAAAGGTTCCCGTAAAATAAAAAAGATTATTCAATTCAAAGATAAAAAGAAAAATAAAAAAAATATGTGGCCATAAGTGTGTGTTTATGAAACTAAGGAAGATCCAAGATACATATGAATAATTTTCTACGCGTTTGAAAGTTTATATTCGTGTAACAATCAACAGCTCATCTTGTTGTTTGTACGATTTCAACTTATTCTCAGTACTACACTGCGACTTATATGAAACATGAGAATATTTTGGAGGCCATATTACAGATTTATTACTGTGGTGGTCAAATGCATCCAGTCTTTCTTACTTGCATCTGCCAAGATCGAAAGGATTTATTTGTGATGGGGGGGGCCTAGGATGGAGGGGTTTAGGTTAGTGTCAAAACCAATGATTGAGAAGGTATATATTTAGTGGCACAGACATCTTTTGGTAAGACGCGTCGTCTTTGACACCGTGTTGGATGTGCGAACGAAATTCCACGTTAATAATTAAAAAGATTTGGTAAGCTACGTAAAAATTTCTTAATGGTGTAAAATTTTTGGAAAAAACCATGCGGACTTGGCCCAAAGCGAAGAATATCATATCGTGTTAATACTATTATTGGATTGGTTGAGCCCAATAACTGGTATTAGAGCTTGGGTTTGGTGGAATGAGTATTGCAATGGTAGACTGATAGTTTGGGGGTCGATTCGCTCACCCTTACGAGCTTGGAGACGTGCACACAAGAAGAAACTAGTCTCTTAATGATGTGAGGTTTTTTGCAAAAAATGTGCTGGTTTTGCCGAAAACGGATAATATCATATCATGTTAAGAATATCAATGGGATGGTTAATTGAGCCCACCACACTGCTTGACAATTTTTTAATATAAAAGTGTCCAAATAAATATTTTTCAAAAACAATATTCATATATGGGGTAGATTGACACCACTTGAAAATAACAAAAAGTAAATATCAATTTGAGAGAAAACAAAACCTTAAGACCACGTGAAGTTCTGTTGAAGACATAATTATGTAAATAAATTTGTGTTTTCTCTAACTGCTTAAGTTTTTAAATGAGATGGTCACACACTTCAACAGGGTATCAGAACAGGCAAAGATCCTAGGTTCGAGTCTCACTACCACCCAATATCAAAAAGAATTTTCACGTGCTTGGCTCATAAAAAAGAATCAAACCCGCACGTGAGGGGGTGTGTGGAAGATATAATTAAGTAAATAAATATGCGTAACAACTTAATCTTTTAGATGAGATGATCACATATTTTCCAGACCCAAAAATACTGACGAGCTGAATTTTGTGCTAATAAATCGATACGACTTACTCANGCGTAACTATCTCTTTTCTGGTTCTGTCCTAATTCAAATGAACTTAGATTGATTAACATGATGATTAAATGGATTTTAACTTGTACTTCCTATTCTTTAGTAACATAATTAATATGT